CAGGTTTCAATATCTTACTGTTTCAATCTTTGTGTATTTCCAGGAATTTATCCTTTTTGTCTAGATTTTCTAACTTACATGCATACAGATGTTTAAAATAATCTCTTATCATTATTTGTATATTTTCAAGATTGGTTGTAATATTGTCTTTTTTGTTTTTGATTGTATTTATTTGAATTTTATCTTTTTCTTTTTTGTGTGTGAATCTGGCTAGGGGTCTGTCAATCTTGTTATCCTTTCAGGGAACTAGCTTTGGCTTGTTGATTCTTTGTATGGGTTTTTTTTTTTTTTTGTTTCAGTTTTGTTTAATGGTGTCCCAATTTTGGTTATTTCTTTTATTCTGCTAGTTTTGGATTTAGTTTTTTTCTTTTTGCTAGTTTCCTTGTGAAACATTAGGTTATTTAACTGAAGTCTTTCGATATTCTTGATGTGAGTGTATAGTGCTATAAACTTTTCCATCCACACTGTTTTTTGCAGCATCTCAGAGGTTTGGGTAGTTATGTTATTATTTTCATTTGTTTCAAATAATTTTTTAAAATTTCTGTCTTGATTTTGTTGCTTACCCCCAAATTTTCAGAAGCATGCTGTGTAATTTCTGTGTATTTGTGTAGTTTTGAGGGTTCCTCTTGGTGTTGATTTCTATTTTTATTCCACTGTTGTCATAGAGGATGCTTGGTATGATTTCTATTTTTTGGAATTTATTCAGGCTTGATTTATGACCAAGTATGTGGTCTATTTTAGAGTATGTTCTGTGTGCAGAGGAGAAGAATGTATAGTCTGTGGTTTATGTGTAAAGTGTTCTGTAGAAATCTATTAGATCTAGTTGGTAAAATGTTGAATTTAAGTCCAGGATTTGTTTGTTAGTTTTCTGCCTCAATAATCTGTCTAAAGCTTTTAATGAAATGTTGAAGTCTTCCACTATTATGTGGCTGTCTGTGTCTTCTCTTGAGCTAAGTAGCCAATGTTTCATAAACCTGAGTGCTCCTATGTTGATTGTGTATATATTTAAGATAGTTATTTCTTCTTGTTGAATTGAGTCTTCATTATATTGTGCCCTTCATTATCCTTTTTTACTTTGTTGTTTTAAAGTCTATTTTATCTGATATAAGAATAGTGACCCCTTGCTCTTTTTTTTGTTTTCTATTTGTGTGGAAGATATTTTTCTATTTCTTTACCTTCAGCTTCTGGGTGTTATTAGAAGTGAGATGGGTCTCCTGAAGACAGTAGAAGGATGGGTCATGTTTTTAAATTAAATTTGCCACCCTTTGCCTTTTCAGTGGCACATTTAGGCCATTAACATTCAAGTTAATTATTGACATGTGAAGATTTGTTCCTGTCACAGTATTCTTAAAAAGCTGCTTTGTGTTCTCAGCTTTATGGTTGACTTGTATGTTCTGTAAACTATGTGCTTACATGTGCTTTTGTATTAGGTGGTATCATTCTTTTGTTTCCACGTTTAGAACTCCCTTAAGTATCTCTTGTAGGGCTGGTCAGGAGGTGACAAATTCTCTAAGCACTTGCTTGTTTGGGAAGTACTTTAGTTCTCCTTTGTTTATGAAACATAGTTTGGCAGGGTACAAAATTCTTGGATGGTATTGGTTTTTTGTAAGGATGTTAAAAATTGACCCCCAAACTTGTAAAGTTTCTCTTGAGAGATCTGCTGTTATTTTGAAGGACCTCCCTCTGGCTTTCTCTCCTTTACTCTCAGTGACGCTAAAGCTTTTTCTGATAAACTTCATTGTGATCTTCTGGACAGTCTTCTGAAGAGCTAACATTTACTCAATGTTTTGGACTTTTTCCATGAGAGAGGTGCTACTAGCTGCTTTCAGTCAGCCAACTTGGATCCCTCCCTTCTACTTTTGAGCTATACTTTTAAATGCAGCAGCAAAGGAACTTGTAAAAGAACCACATAGGAATATTTTATAAAGTGAAGAATAGTTTGTATCTGGTCAACATTTTTTTATTTTTTTGTACTTCTGGAGTTCACTCATATGATTATATAAAAAATTTTATAAATCACATTTTTTGATATTCATAAATTTTTAATTTATTACAATTATATATGTGTGTAAGATATACCTCCATATTCTAATCTGTTAGAACATTATTTTAGCAGGCACTTAATAACTGATTTTTTTAAGAATAAAAAAAGCATATTTTATAGGAACGGAACAAAATGGACTCAATACAATCTTTCTGAACCTAGTTCATGTGATATTTTCAAGACTTTTAGTAAAATGCTTTTATGTATTGAGTGGGATCCTTTGAAGGAAAAGTGTAGTTATTTTTATTTATTTTATTTTTTTTGAGTTGGAGTCTCACTCTGTTGCCCAGACTGGAGTGCAGTGGCTGCTCCCGGCCACTGCAGCCTCAACTGACCTGCTGGGCTCCGGCAATCTTTCCACCTCAGCCTTCCAAGTGATTGGAACTACAGGCACGCGCTACCACACCTGGCTAATTTTTTTTTTTTTTTGATTTATTGTAGAGATGAGGTCTCGCCAAGTTGCCCAGGTGGGTCTCGAACCCGCGGGCTCAGGCAATCCACTTACCTCAGCCTCCCAAGGCACGGGATTACAGGCTGAACCATCGAGCCCGGCTTTTATTTATTTTAAAAGTGAAATTTCCTATTCAGTCAACTTCATAGTAAAAGCATTATAAGCAAGATTGGGAATGATTTTTCAAAACAGTTGTCTCCCCACATGAAGATGTCATAAAACACAGATTGCTAATATTCTAGATGGAAAAAAATTTTTTTGTACCTTTTCTGCTATTTAATTAGGAAAATAACCATTTTCTCCTGACAGAAATTAATTTGACAGTGAATTGGCTAAAGTCTGTAAATCGCTATCTTTATCAATAGTTGGAACATGTTGCTATTACCTAGAACATTTTTCTGCGTGTCTCTGATACCTCAGGCAGAGATAGGTCCTCTGTGTGTCTTAATACTTTGTACAGGCCTCTACTAAAACCCTGCTTAGATTGTATTCATGTTTCTTGACTTTCATTTGATGTTGATCTTCTTGGGCTGCAAAATTGTTTTGTACTGATTTCTATATCCTGTATGCCTAGAATGCAGCTGTGTTATAAAGGGAACAAGGGCTTGTCAAAGAAAAGCTGAATAGTGTTTATTCACATGATCGTTCAGCAATATATATTCAATGTATTGAATATATGCAGTAGAGCAGGCACTATTCTAGACCCTGGGAATAATGTGGTGACCAGGACCAATGCAGCTCTTGTATTTACTAGTCTTTTGAGAATACAGGCTTTGATTCAGGTTGTTGAAATAAATTGATGAGGCCTGGCTCGGTGGCTCAGCCTGTAATCCCAGCACTTTGGGAGGTCGAGGAGAGTGGATTGCCTGAGCCCGTGGGTTCGAGACCCACCAGGGCAACTTGGCAAGATCTTGTCTCTACAAGAAGTCAAAAATTAGCCGGTTGTGGTAGTGTGCACCTGTAGCTCTGGCTATTTGGAAGGCTGAGGTGGAGGGATCGCTGGAGCCCAGCAGGTTGAGGCTGTGGTGGCCCAGAGCATGCCACCCTGCTCTAGTCTGGGTGATGAAGTGAGACTCCAACTCAAAAAAAAAAAAATAAAAAAAAAAAAATAAAAAAATAAATTGATGAGGGTTATGATAGGAAGCATAGAATCCTGCTATAAAACCTACCTTAGTAATGTGGGGGGTGATCCAAGACTTCCCAAAGCAAGAGATGTTTAAGTTGGGACCAGAATTATGAGCTGACACTAGCTGAAAAGGGTTAGGAGTACTGGGGGAAGCAGGTGACTTATGCAAGGTACTAGGACAGAGATATTGAAACAGTCTGTCTCCAGAGTCCACACTGTCAATTACTGTGCTGTATTGCGTCCTGGTTACTGATTTTCAGTATAAAATGCAGACAGATTGTTGAGTAGATAGAACAGAATGTAGAAAATTTCTCTGATGATACTTTACTACTTGCAAAAGGCTCTATGTTTATATTTTTTATATTTTTCACTTATAACTTGTTTTCTTATGACAAAGTTTCTGTTACTATAGAACATATATTCATACATATGCATATATTCAGAAAACATATACATATATAAAACACATGTACACACATATATAAAACATGCTGTATGTATGTTATATATATGCACACGTAAACCAAATATTTATAGTAAAGTTTCTAGATAGATATACAAGAGCTGAGTAGTTGGTGTTTTGGGGGATAAGTATGAAGAATTTTTAAATTTTGACTTTATACTCTTCAGTATGGTGAATTATTTAAAAGCAATTGGTACATATTACTTTTAAAATAAAAATAAGTTTAAATTTAAAAACTTAAAAATGGTGAATGTAGTAATTATCAATTATCCTATTGGAGGAGGTTGAAGGAAATTTTTAAATTTTTATTTTATATCCTTCTGAACTGAACACTTAAAAATTAATAAATACACATTATTTTTTATTATAAAAATACATTAAAATAGTGAACGATATTCTCTAACAATTATACATCATGAAGTATTACTTCTGTGATTAAATTTAGGATATAGTTTATTATATTGGTAGTTTAGAATAAATCTATCTATGTTAAACTTTTATCTGAGAGCTGTAGTCTTATTATCTTAACTGGTAGCTTTTTTTCTAACATCCACTGAGTTGGAAAGCAACTCAGTGAAGACACCTTATTTTATAAACAGGATTTTTTATGATTGAAGTCTTAGTAATGAAACCTTTCACAACAAATGAGATTCAGCAAATGCAGAAGCTCAGCAATTTTACTAGATATTGCTAGTCAATTGAACACAGTTTTCATACAGGAAAATGGTGTTACGCTTCTTAATTTCAAAAAATTTATCAAAAACAAATATTAATTTAAAACTGTATTTTAATTTTTAAAAATATTTTTAATATTATGCTTAGTCATGGAATATACTTGGAATTAGGTTGACTAATAAATGCTGAAATAGACATAGCTGAAACTTAAAGTATAACTTATCTGGGGTTTGTTTTTCAGGTGAAGCTCTGAAAGTGTCAGCTGAGAGATTTACTGATGATCCCTGTTATCTCCCAAAAAGGGAGGCAGTCGTTCAAGCCGCTCGTGCCTTACTGGCTGCAGTTACCAGACTCCTTATCCTCGCAGACATGATTGATGTCATGTGTCTCTTGCAGCATGTGTCAGCTGTAAGTAAAAAACGACTTAGTTTACCTTGGCATTGTTTTCACTTCTAATTCTATTCTCTCAACCTGGCATCAATCCTAGTGCATCCCAGCCTCACCCTCATTCCTTGATGTCAGCCATAAGAAGTTGACTAGATTGGACTGTGAAGACTAACGTATACCTTAAAAGAAGGAAGGCAAAGTTAGTCCTAAAACAATGGGAAATTGAACAGAAGATGGCTTAATGATAAGGAAATAGCTAGGAGAAATTTCTAGACTTTTGACTTTTAAAATTTAAATTATGCCCTCATAAATAAATAAATAAATAATGGCACAAGATAACGTATAATAAACATATAAATGTAAGTAATTTGGGAAATTAAGAAACCTTAAAGCTTAAGACATTGAAAGTTTATTCTCGTTTAACTAAATGCTATGTTACCGGGTCCTATTGATTCAGGACAAACAGTGCATGTTTACAGGCAGCCTGTTATATGTGTAGTAATCCATTATGAAAATGTATGAATTTATTTAATATGAGTAAGGCATACAGTTTAACTGAGAGAATGAGAAGTTAGCAAGATATCTTGCTTGCTTTATTTTGTCAGATGAATCCATTTACCACGTTTTTAGTAGAAAGATAATTTTACTGAAGTCTTTTGAAAAAAATTTCTCTCTCTTTGTCCCTCACTCCTCCCCTCTCTCCATCTCTCCCTTTTTCTCTCTCTCCCCTTACCCATTTGCCATTGTTTTGTTATGCACTGGCCAGGCCATGTGCTCTCTGAGCTATGACTACCATGGTTTTTTAGCCTTGACCTCCTCCCCTACCTTGGGAAGGCTTATCTCCTCTCTCTTCTCTCTCTCTAATTTACTTTCTAAATAAACTATATTTTCTAATCCCCCAAAATTATTTAGCTTGACCAACTCATTAATAGTGTTCAGATGTAAAGGTTGCAAAGAACACTTGAAATCTTTGCTGAATTTCTGCTTGTAACAGCACTCTTACACTCTGTCCATAAATATGTCTGCAGTTTCATAAAGGTGTCTGGTGATTGTAATATCATTTTTCCATTAAGCAAATGATGGTCTTATTTGACTGACCTTGTCAAAATCTTTTTCTCTAATTGCTAAGCTAAACCTTTCTTTGCATCTTTCCTGTATTCACTATTGCTTACTTTAACAGTAGAGATCCTTCCTTTGTACTTCCAAATTCCTTTTCTTTTGATAGTATTATTACTGTAAAAAAGTAATTCAATACTTTTTTTTTAGTTTAAGTAGTTTTTTAGGAAAGGGATTAGTTCTTATTACCAGCAACTGTCACTAGTGGATTTGTAGGCGAGATAATTGAGCAAAGATTCCTGCTACTTTGTTACTTTGTTGTTGAGTGATAACCTTGTTCAAATTCTTGAACATTCCTGAGATTCAGTTTTATCATATGTGAATACAGATACTAACAAATGCTGTACACAAGAAATGAGCATGAAAGATTAAGTGCCAGATAGTTCTCAGTTCCAGTGATCCAATAATTCTTGTGTTTCAGACTCTATGAAGAATGAAGGAATTTTTAAGGTGAAAATTACCACCTTTATAATCAAATAGGAGTTAACTGTATACAAAGAACACTTTCACTACCATTGAGTGTTCCCTGAGAGCTAGGCACAGTGGTAGATAATTCACACACATCATGTCATTCAAATAAAGTAGGAGGATGTTATAGATCAAACAGAAACAAAGTACTATCTTTTGCAAAAACATTATAGTTAATATTTATTGAGTTTTATAATGTGCCAAGCACATTATCTCCTTTAATTTAATCCTCACAACAACCCTATGATTATGATTCCTATTTTACAAATGAGAAAACAGAGGCATAGTTATAAGTAACTTGCTCAAGGCAACAGAAAAAAAATAAAAACATTGAAACTGAGTACTCTAATGGTTAGAACATCTTTAACTACAAATAGCTTTTAAAAGTGTTTAGGCAAGTTTGTGAGTCCACAACTGGTTGTTAAAGTAAGTTAGGTATAATTAAGAAGGTGTTCTTAATTTCAATTATACTCTCCCACACTTGTTTACCTTGACAGGGCTTGAATTCGACTAAATTGTATGTCACTTATAAATATGTATAGTACAACAATGGCACTTTTTAAAAAAGAAAGTGGTATCTTATTGAAGAGAAAGGAAGATTTTTTTGGTTGCAAATGTTTATATATGAATTGTATTATTAACTCAATTCTTTCAAGGTTTTACATATAATGAAAACACTAGATTATTTTTTAGATGATCAAGATTTATTTAGCCAAACATTTCTCCAAAAGTATTCTATAGAACCTGTCTTATAAATATGGAACAGGAAATAAAGTTTTTGTTTATTTATTTATTTTATTTTTTAAAGAAACGGGATCTTGCTCTGTCACTCATGCTGGAATGCCGTGTTGCAATCATAGCTAACTGCAGCCTTGAACTCCGGAGCTCAAGTGATCCTCCTGCCTCAGCTCCCGAGTAGCTAGGACTATAGACATGTGCTACCACTCCTAGCCAATAAAGTTGTTTTTTTAAATATGATCAATCCTGCACGTAGAAATTTTCATGAATGTTTCAATGCACATTCACACATTAAAGTCACTGAGAAATATTGTTGCAAAGAAGCATGTGTAATTTTGCTTAACTTTTTTGCTTAAAATTTTCCCATATTTTTTTGATCCCAGAACTCTTCTTTAATATATTAATCCTGGACCTTTCTAAAAACACATTTTGGGAAATATCAGCTTGGAATTTTTCTAATAATACTCATGGTTATATTAAACTTCTGCTTGGAATAAAAAGAATGTGGTGAAGCAGAAAGTCTCTCCTGTAATGTACAATATATACAACTGCCTAACAATAGGTGATTGCTGGCAATGATAAGGATCTCAGTTCTGTGAGACAGTAAACCTGATTTTAGACAATTTCATTTGTAGGAGACATTTTCCTCAAACTGAACTTAAAGTTGCCTCCCTGCCATTTCCATCTACTGCTTCTAGTTTTGCTCTCTGGAGAAACACAAGGCAATAAAAAAGATACTTTTCAAATAACTGATGATTACTTTTAGGAATTACACTATGTCTCCTTTTGTCTAGGCTAAACATTTCTTGACTCTTGGACATTCCTTGTATGACAGTTTCAGACCACTCTGGATACCCTAGAATTTCTATATCATTTCAAATTGACTATATCCCTTTGCATAATTTGCTGCTGAAATTTTAATCTTTCTTTTGATCTACTTGTGCACGGTAAGCAGAATTGTCATGTAGTCAAGGTTTGAAAAAATCCAGTATCTACTCCCTGGGTGTCCGCTCCTGCTATCATTTTCCTTATTTTTGCTAATGATGTCTTATCTTCTCATGTGAATGTCTATTTTTGATTATGTATTTAACATTACCTGTCCTGAAACTCATCTCAGGAAATTCTTCACCATCTTATTAGCTGGTTGATACTTATTTGTTTTCTATAGCAGAGGATTGGACTGAGTTTCTAATTTGCCATTATAAGAAATAGAATCCCTCAAATCATCTCTATAAATCCTTTTGCTATGCATATTCTAGATTGTAGCTAACTTTCAAAAAATGTTGAAATCAACAGCTTGAAATCAAAACAAACTTTTTAATGTGAACATGCCATAATATAAATGGACAATTACATCCCTGATTTAATGACTAACATGATTTACATGATTTTACCTATCACAGTAGTCTTGCTGTCTGTTCATATTGATTTTTAGAGCAATTAAAACCTTCAAGTCTCGACTCAAACTACTCTTAATACAAGTCTTCCTCGGCTGATTTTAAAAAATATATATAGAAGTAGAAGTTTATTTATATTCACTGACTTTTATCTTAATTCTGGCTTTTGTTACAGTCTGTCAAGATTTATTGACTCTTGATTTTGTCTTCCCTTCCTAACCTGGTATCATTTTCAAATTTATTCATTAAAAATGTTTCATTACATGGAAAACAGTATCATCTGCTTCTTTTAGATAATACTAATCAAATATGAACACACTTTGAGTAAAGTTGAGAATGAACTTCAAGCTTGCTTCATTGGGCTATTGTGTAAACCATACTTCTTTATTTCATCCTCAAACACTTAAAAAATTTTTTTTTGGAAAGCAGGATTTATTGAGAGGACACAAAAGCTCCCACAGTGGGATGGGACCCAAAGGGGTTCCCCTCAAGCACTTTTTGAAAGACCTTCTTGAAATCAAAATGCATTGTCTATGGCAACGTGGATTTTATCAGTCTAGTAACCTCAGTTATAAAGGAAATAAAATTAGTTTGGAATGACTTGTTGTTAATAACCTGCTAAAACCTTTAAGTGACCATTGCTTGCTCGCTTTTATTTTTTCCTGACTTTCAGTTTTCAATTACTCACTTGTGCATGGTCAAAAACTACTTGTTTGCTGGTATCTTCTTGCACTTAAAATCTCGATATAATTAGTTTGGACCTTCATTTAATGTCCTGTCAAGTATAATGTTCTCCCCAAGATTTCTGCAAATTCTCCAGGAACTCATGTTCTCAAGGTCATCTCTGGCTCCAAGTTTTTGCTTCCACTGAAGTACTTTCATTTATAGATTGACTTTCAATCTCTATTCTACATTGTGTTCACCCAGAATTGGAAGTTGGCCTTTCCGCCTTGATTTTCATATGCAGATACACAGACACATACATTCTACAACCCTATCAGACAAGGCATGTCTAGGAATATGGCAAACTTTATGGAAATCTGGGAAAATGTAAGGGAGGGATTTCTGTATTGCAACAAAATATTCTAAGTAGCTTCAGTTTGTAACAAGTCATCAAAGTCCTTTAGCAATTTCATCTCATTGCTCTTTCACTTTCTATCTGCTCTCCCACACTTCAAAATTCTGTTCATTTTAGTGCAGTAAAAGGTTATCTTTTCACCACCCCACTTGGCTTCTACTAATTTGTGCCTTCAGGATATCACAATCCATCTTAAATTACTCCTTAAAGTATTTTCCTCAGTA